CTACTTCTCAATTACTTCCTGGGACTCGCATGTTCGCTTGTATTAGGAGGTGAGATTATCGGAGGCGTGATCCAGCACAGCACCTGATGAAGCAAAACTATCACTCTACTCATTTTACACACACGTCTGTTTGCGGATCAGTATTTCAAAAAAACAGCAAATGCGCGGCTTCGATCCCAAAAGTGTCTTTAAGGTGCATTAGCCACGACAATTCGGTACACAATAGCACGACCGTTCCTATAGTGACAGTAATTTACTGCGACGTGACATTCTTATTACTTCCAGCGTATCAGGGGCTGTCCGTGAAAGTGATTTTCGAGGAAACCGCGGCATAAAAATATGCGGTAGGCTGTATTTGTAAAATGTGTTCGGGTGCCGTTGTTATTGGTTTTGGCCGATTTGACGGCTTTAGAACAGAGTAAATCGGACACGGCAAGGTGAATCCAGCCAAGACTAGTTCACTGCTCACATTTTAAGGTCCTTTTCATTACTGGTTCTCAAAAACCTTCCTCCTACCGCTCAACCTAGTGCCCACAGTGTTAAGACATGCAAAACGTAACGTTAGTATGTGGCTTTCACTTTACACATGCACATCCACTTGTCTAATAGAAAAGACAGCAGAAGCGCAGCCTTACAGAATACGCAGAAGTACGCTTCGGAAGTATAATTAGGCCAGTAATTTTACTGGTGTGTTATAAACCGTGCGGTCATTATTTCAGCGCCTACGCTTCGGTGCGCAATCACGTGCCGTTTCTGTTCATCCAAGAAATCCCAGAATTCGTCGCTTTCGTATTACATATGGTCTGGAAGGCAACTTCAGAGGGAGCTAATTATAAGCCAGTTTAACAGCAATAATTTTAAAGGGTACTTCCCGCGCTGAGGTAGGTGTGAAAGAGTTCAGTTAGAGATAACATTAGTTAAAACAAGGGGTACTTACGTGAAGATGCATAGGACTGAGATTCCATGGAATCTACAGACAAGAAACAGGGATTGCATGAGCATGAGCAAGTCTAAGGAAGTGCATTCTGAAGCGTCAACACCCGAGACTAAGGGTCCCCAAATGCTGACTTGAAGCAGTGTCTACCGATGCTGTGGCGCAAAGCCGTACTTACTGTGGTGGGATGAGTCAAAGGTATTAAAGAGGAGGAACAAGAGTACAAAATACTGAGACGTAACTTTATACCAAGTGACTACAAAAAAGAATATTTTTGTGCGTGTTTTTCATAAAATTTGAATCTATAAGGGCGTGGAAAATCCATGATAAAATGGATACTATTTAAGTAGCCACTTTTCAACTAGTATGATTTTTGCAGGTGGTTAGAAAGAATCTCGTTTACAACTCGGTATCCTGAAGGGACTAAAATGCCATCCAAGTATGTCGCGTGATAATTGATATAACAATGCTACTTAAGCAGTCTTTTCAAAGCAAAAATACATTCGGAATTGTGCCTACCATTTAATGAGATAACACATCTGCCCCCTCGTTAGGGCAGTTATTTGGGCATGGTACGGGAAGTCAAAAGACGCATCTATCCATGAAACGTTTACCACAAAATATTGACTGGGACCGCTGACCCCAGGTCGAAGTGGTCATAGTATTTCCAAAAGTGGTTCGATTATAAAATCTATGTACTATGGCATGTATCTGAACTCCAACACCAAAACACTGATCAAAAAATATCTTCAAAGGATTTTCTTGTGCACCTTTTGCATACAGGCATTAGGTTTGTCGCGAAAATATTCGTTGGCTAGTATGTGCTAATTAGTCGCACACGGCTTAAGTTTTAGTGAGCTCAAATTGGTAGAATAATGCAATTGTAATCTTTTAACTTTAGATGAAAGGGGCAAAGTAAGTAGGCAATCTACCGATTCTTTTCATAAAATATTCGAAAATAATAAGTTTGACACAACTGATGGAATTAGCTGTCGGGTCTGTCGGTAATGAAGAGCTGGTAAAAGGTTTATTAACATCAAGGTTAAGCGCGGAGTGCACAACGATTAATAGCAGTATATCAGAAGCAAAAGCACTTACCACTAGTCGAGAAAAAGGAAGGGCGCAGTCGGTTAGGTGGAAGGGAAAGATTGTTCTCCTTCGTAGTGAGAGCCACTGTAGATGGTCCGACATCAGACACTCTATGAGGTCAAAAAGGAGTATGTTAGAAATGAATACATGAACGCATCACTAGCTTATCTGAAAATAAGAGTACCTCAAGAAGACGTCCTCCATTGTCGTAACGGAGAGGCCAAAACTGGCGATTCCAAGGGAAAGAGCCTTCTTTTCCAGCAGGCCCAGAAGATTCGGAAAGCCGGGTACAGATTCCAGTGGGAGAAGGATCTTCAATTCATTTCCATCGTGCGATTGTATGTCAGCTTGAAAGATGTGCTGTTTGATGAAGGCGACAACCTCCTCCACAGTAGACGCTGGTAGAAGCATGAGGGTTAAGCAGTAGCCAGTTCCTAGAAAAAAGAAACGCGCGTAATAAAACCTACTACAGTATTTGTAAGTAGTTTGTTTTAGTTAATAAACAAGCACCGTAAAGGGATTTCAGGAAGAGAGGTGAGCCGAGACATCGCAGCTTGCCGCCCGACAGGATGGCAATCCGATCTCCCAAGTATTCCGCCTCATCCATATAATGCGTGGTTACCAATATTGTTCTGAACGGGCGTTCACGCTGAAGAATGTCCCAAATTTGTCGACGAGCAGACGGGTCTAGACCAGAAGTTGGTTCATCCAAAATGAGGACCTGCAGAAGCAGAAATTAAAAAGAACTCGTCAGGGTGAAGGAGCAATGTGAGGGCTCGGAAAACTTACAAGCAGAATATATAGATATATGTAATCTACCTTCGAATTAGCAATGAGCGCCATGCCGAGAGACAGACGGCGTTTTGTGCCCCCTGACAGGGTCCAGGCTCGTCGATTGCGTTTCCCCTTCAGGCGAACTTTGGCCAAAGTGGCCGTCACCTGGGCATCCAGCTCACTTTTTGGGCAACCTTTTAGCTGGAAGAGAGAAAGAAAGGCGCAAAAAAGACATCACAATTTCTGATAAATTTGTAAGTCCGGAAATATAGCAAAATATATCCGCCTCATATCTGGTGAAGAGGTCGTACGGAGGTCAAAAATGTCACGCAGGACCGATCTCGAGGAATCTCAACTTACGCGGGCAAACAATCGGAAATGCTCGGAGACGGTGAGGTCATCAAAGAGGAGATCATGTTGAGGGCAATATCCAATCGTTTGCCTCACAGACTCCACATCAGTTAAAACGTTGAAGCCACCAACGTAGGCAGTACCCGTAGTCGGTGGAAGCAGCCCTAGGTTGCGGAGGAAATATGAATTGAAAATATTTGACAAAATAATCGGAAGTCCACAAAGTGCTCATTTGCACAAGACAAATCACAGAAAACTCACCCGTGAGTATGGACATAAGAGTCGTTTTTCCGGCTCCATTGTGGCCAAGGAGGACGGTAATTTGGCCTTCGTATATGCCCATAGTCACATTTGATAGGGCTGGCGGACCAGATAAACCATTCTTGTATGACTGTATAAGAAAAGCAGGGGAAAAATCATGTCACAGCGCTACTAGAGCCTCCACTGCAAAACATTAGATACAGAAACACAGACAACTCCCAAGTAATTTAGAGCACGTCTCACATGTGCTGCCGGGGGCAGAATGGTGATATGAAGAATCCCGAAGTCCATCATACGACTAGCATTATTAATACTATTACTACTACTGGTACTACTATTACTACTAGTGATAGTTCGACCATCGATTTCGATTATGTCCACCACATGCTCAAAGAGCAGGGGTGGTGACTGTAGTCAGATATAGTAAAAGTAGGCGAGCAGCCATCCAGCACACTCTAAACCCTCATCCCGGTTGAATCGGTGACAAGAGCGTCGAAATTACCGAGCGGAACTCAGGTGTAAGCCGCTTTCTACAATGCAGGCCAGAAACACCGTCTAACTTAGTCTTAAGTGGCAGTAGCCTTTTGCGCTGGTACTACTGCACTATCTACCATCACTCACCTTCAGCAGGTGTCCAGAAAGACTGCATGAGCCCGAGCCGGTTATTTCTACTACTATTTATACTACTGCTTACTAGCAGTGTAACTGAGTGATAGTAATACTGGTACTATTACTGACGCTAACCTTTGTCAGATGTGACGCTGATTAAAACCAACGCTGGGGCTCAT